CAAACCGGCCAAAAATAACGCCACACCACAAACTTTTTGTTCCCGCTCCCCCCCCCCCCCCCCCCCCCCCCTTCCTCTACTCTTTCAATATGATACATCTGCCACTACTAAAATGCAATCTTGTATTGATAAACTTAATATAGAAAACGTGGTAAGCGAAATAAACTTCAGTGAATATTTTGTGTGTTTCTCAAATATGCATGACGAATAATTATTACAAAGTAATTTAATCAACGGCGATTAATAACAGTTCCAACAAATATTTTTTCCGACCTTCTGCTTGTTCCAATTCAACAAAAACCACGTTGTTTACTTATTATTGTAATCTGATTAGTCATTCAGTGTCATTACGTCCCTATTATCATCATAAATAATTTTTAGCAAAAGCATGTGCTGACTGTAGGAAAAACAAAATATTTACGCATCAATAACATTTTATTCAGTATGCAATCTGCCCACATTCCCCTACCAATGAAAATATATTATCAACGCAGGAAAAAAACGAAGTATTTTACCATCATTGAGATTTTTCCCATCATTCAATACTCCCATGTCCCGATCATCGCAAATAACTATAGCAAATGTATACATTGAAATCAACAACAAAAAAATAAATAGCTTATTTATGTTTTTTTTAATACAATAATCGTTTTGGATACGTTGACAATAGAATTTATTTTATAAAATTACAAAATATTATTCCAATCTTAACTAAATTCTAAATTTACGTGGCACATTAGTGCTGAATTGAATATAATAGATTGTGGAACAGGCAACATATCTATCTCGCTTGTTTCGTTAGACATATTTTTAGATTTCTCTGCATTTATTATAATAGATATTTGCTTTGAAACTATAGTTTCATCATTTATATCATTATTTATTTTTTGTTGTAAAAGTTTAACGATTGATTGTGCATGATTTTTGATTGGAAGTAGTTGATCGTTTTTTTTCTTCTTCTGATTGAGTCAAAAATGATCCTTTCATATGAGGTGGTGCATAACGATGAACTGATTGCTGCTATTGTTGTTAAGATAATGACCATTCCCATGATGGTAGAATAGTTGAATTTGATGAAGATATGCGTACTGATAAAGATGTCTACGAACGGTTATTATGAATAGTAATTCATTAGATTGATTTCGAAGCTGTTGTTATTCCAGTTAATGATTGTTTTGACTTCTTTCACCAAGCTTCTATTGAATAGAAAAATAAATAAAACGAACAATTTAGAATAATATATATATTTATCCACCGTAACTTACTTCAATTCTACGTTTTGTTTTGTCAATAATACTAGCAGCTTGCTGGAAGAAGTAAAATAGAAGTTTTTGATTGATTTATTGTTGATTGCTTGACGGAATCATAACTTGCGGTCAAAGTTTTCCTGAATTTTTTTTATTTGAATATGTATGAAAATGAGATAAAAATTATTAATCTTATCCATAATTAGTTATAGGAATAAATTTTTTATATCAATCGGTATTCCACTATGAGTGCAGAAGTATGTTGTAACTGATATCTATTGAGATGAAACAACACTTTTCAGGTTTCCTAAACGGTACAACACCACATGAGAGTGAGGGTGGATAATAACGTTGATAAAATACTCTTCCATCCAGTAAATATCAGTTGCAATGTACTTTGATATTCATGCGTCATTCAATAGACTATATTGAGATACGAAAAGATCTAAAAGAGTTCGAGCTCATAACATATTGCTGAGAAGTTCCGACTGTTTTATTGAATTATTAATCGAGAACGAAGTACTCCAAAAAAAATTATAATGAAGAGTTTTAACCGAAAAAACCGCCTCCAGATAGATTAAATAGTCATTAGATAATCGTAAAAATTTCAACAAAAATGAGCATGTTTTTCGAAAGATAATTAATTTCCAAGTAGAGTGGATCATTGATGTGATTTTTATTGTCAAGGGATTATTCATATGTAAGAAACATTCTAAACAAAGTGAGCAAATTCACAATGAAATTCCTTGGTTTTGAGAACGTTACTGCTTCACCATTATTTTGTTTTCTCAATGAAGTAAGTCAAAAACGCATTCTTCGAGACTCGAAATTAATTCAAGACAAATATTGACATGTTTCTTTAAGTATACATTTTTTTTTTTATCTAGATATGAATTTTTTCTAAATCCCACTTACTTTATATAGTGAAAAATAGGACTTGGAAAATTGAAGTACTGACTGTTTTATTCAAATAGAATAAATTAAATTGTCCACTCTTACCAATTATTCTTAACTTCCTAATATAGATCTTATAAAGATTATTGTGTCCATCAGAGGTGTCTATATGGTAGAATTACTCTGCTCTATGTGCATTCTCTTTTCGACCTACCTGTTAGAGACTTTGATATTTAAGCTGTGAATTTTTATTATAAAAGTCGCATCATTTTGAATGTAAAACTGAAGAAAAAAAAATGAAAAGCACAAATAACATTCAGATTAGTTTTACGCATCACAGATATCGTTTTCATAGTTGTAACAGATGACCAGATCCAACGGAGTATTACTATCGCTCACTTACGATGAGGAACAGGTGTTTGTTATTAATCTATTGTCAACATCTTTCAAGATGCGTCTATCTCACATGATTTTTTTGTTCAAGGTATTCAAACACTTCATCAGCTTTAGAAAAAGAAAAGATTTGGCTAGGTTGGAAATGTGAAAATGAATTTTTCGAATCGTCATCCTGAAAAAGAGCATTTTTCGAGTATATGAGAGTCAAAAATATAATGGAAAGGGTGTTATCAACTAGTATTCAGAATTTTCGTCTTTAGGTCTATATCCAAATGAACATATTTGAATTGAAAAATTAAAAAAATAACTGTTCAAAAAAGTATGTCTGTATTTTTGATTCTCGTCTTTTCCCCACATCGCCACATGTACAACATTATATCAGTATTTCCTCTTAAATATTAAGTCATTTTTTTGCT